AGGACCAAATCATGCATGGCTATCACATTCAGTATCTCAGGAAGGCCTTGGGTCCCACTTCCATTTCTGGACTCCGAGGAGATTCAGGGACAAGATGGGGACAGGGGAAGCTGCTCCAGTGGCTCAGGAAACAGAGCCAGGAAGTGCAGGATGGTTAGTGCTCTGCACTGTGTGCCCGACAGAAAGAGGACGGATCATAGCTCCCCACTCTCTCAACCCTGAAACTCAGTTCCAGATGGCTGCAGAGACAGCTGGGTGGGTCACACAACTGACCAGGCCCTCATAGGATGCAGACATGTGTGTGTGCGTGCATGCATGAGTGTGTGCATGCATGTGTGTGCACAAGTGTGCATGCATGCATAAGCGTGTGCATGTGTGTGTGTGCACGTGCTGTTTGTTTTAGTGACAGGGTCTCATTCTGTAACCCAGGCTGGCTTTGACTGGAGATGACAAGCCTTGCTTGTTATGTATCAACTGTCAACTCTCCATTGTCCGGACACTTGCCCCCTTTCTTGCTGTGTGGTAACAGCGTGGTGACAGGTGAACTTGACCTGGAAAGACAGACAGGTGTTGGAAATGTAGACACCTGATGCTATGGATATTCCTTTAACCTGGGAATAAGACCTCTGTGGCCTCGGGGCTTTCTCTGTTAGGCCAGAAAGCATTCTAGAGGAACAGGGCCAGGTGAATGCATGCGCATTCTGTGAATAAAAAGAAAAACCACACACACACTTACATTTGTGAGAATTCCCTAGGTTGGCTTACCTGACAGAGGCTGGGTAGTCCCATGATGATGGCTGTCTGCACACTGATGAGTTTCTGAAGCTGGAGGCCTCTGCCATACTGATCTGGTGCTGAAGGACGAGAAGGTTCCTGGCAGCTGCTCATCTTCCATCTGTGTTGGAATGCTGAAGAGACGAGTCTGGTGCCAGCAGGACGAACAGACACACAATAATCAGCAGGAAGTGACCGCAGGCGGGCAGGAGCGTGGGTGGGCAGGGCAACCCCTCGCATTTTGGGCCTGGTTAACTGGCTGTTTTCATGTAGTGGTTACCAGATACTCTTGGGCCAACTTTTTCATCTGCAGAATAGAAAAATAATCCTTCTTAAATCATTGTGAAGATTAAAACAGTCACATGATGTGTTGAATATCGCATGGGAAATAAGATGCACTGGGACACAGTATAGGTTGAATGATGTTTATTCTGGGAGAAATCACACCTGAAACAGATGATCGCCATGGGTTCCTGCTCCAAGGACACCACCTGCATGCTATCAGCAACCCGGCCAGGAAGAAAGACAGCGAGCTGGGGTCCGAGACCCCAGACCTAGCTTCCCCCGAAGAGTGTGGTCAGTGCAACAGGTTCGGGCAGGGTGGATTATCTCACTACAGTTGAATATGCCAGAGACAAATGTCCCCTCCCTTACTCTCCCATGTCCACCGACATACTGTAGCCTCTCCTCCTCATCTCTCCTTAGGAAGTCTGGAGACATCAGCTACTACGATCTTAAGAATTTAAATTTCCCATTTATTGGTGAAATTTTAATACATGGAGAATAATAATATGTCCCCAAGCTGGAAAAATAAATTAAGGCCGGTATGGATGAACTCCCTGCAGATTCTCATGTTCACTGTGGCAGCTGGTCATGACGGCAGACTGACGTGGGCCTCATCGCTCACATGCTTCCCACAGAGGCGTGTTGTAAGATCCTAAAGATGTATTTTCCTCCGAATTATTGTGCTGGCTTAGCAGAAGATGAATTAACGCCTGCAGAATCTTGCAAAAGAAACATGGCACCATGGACTAACGGTCGTGGCACTGTGGGCTAACGGTTGTGCATTTGGAAGCTTGGGAACAGCTTTGCTGGTATGGAAGGCTTTTGATGCCACAGTCTATTTCTGGCTTGGAAGAAGAGCATCGAGGCTTGTGTGACAGACTGTGCCTCTCAGTTCCTTACCTCTTACTGACATCTAGCTGTGTGCCAGAAGCCATCTGCTAGACTCTCCTTCTCAATGCCACGCCTAAGTTCTGCCTCGACAGCTGGTAACGCTGGGGGATGCCTCGGACTGTCCAGCGGAACATTCCCTCCCCACCCCCACCCCTGCTCAGAGGTTCAGTCCCCAGCTCCGGCAGACCTCCTCATTGAGGGGACCAGAGCTAGCTCCTGCCCATCATCACATCCACGGTCTCCACGGTCGCCATTGTTCCTGAGTCTAATACTCCAGTGGGCCCTGTAGAAGTCTGATACATCCTTCTCTCCAAGGTGTGGATCTGTCTGATAAAGTGATGCTGATCTCACCTGCCCAAAGTTGAATGTCATTTATTTTTCCATTTTCCTAACCCTAGGCAGGGACTATGAACCTCACCAGGGAGGACAAGAGGTGGCCATTCAATGCCAGGGCTGGCCCAGGCCCCGCCTCTGTCTAAGGAAGGAAGCTTGTGATGTTGCCTCTAGAGCAATTCCACTAGAATACATTAAAAAAAAAATTAAGTGAAAGCCTCCAAATGTTCAGCTACAAGTTGGTTCTCACCCTTGCCAAGGAAATTTATCTTTACAACAGATGAAGACCAATGCAGAGAACCACAACTGATCAAATGCACAGAACAAGAGATTGTGTTGTACCCAGGCCCAACAGGTATAACATATCAGCGATACAACTCCCAACCCAAGGATCAGGGGCCACAGTGGAGAGAGTGCAAAGATCGTGAGAGACAGGAACAGGAAGTTTGCCGTTTGATTATGTCTCTTAGAAATGCCAGAAGTTAAAACCGTGGAGTCTCACCACCATGGCTGCCTAAACACGGCCTGAACAGGGATGGCAGCAACAGGAGGCTGATGGGGACAGGGGAAGCTCGAGAGGCTTCAGCCTTAAACAAAGAACTGCTGGCACTAAGGAGTGTTGGGAGGGCAGAAGGTCTTCCCCAGGGAAGAGCGCTGCCCTGGATGTCCCGCGCCATCAGCCCTGAAAACACACACACAGTAACATTACACAGACCACACAAGCAGGCTGTCGGCATGCATTTATGTAACAGCAATTTAAAAAAGCAGCCACCATGAATCTGGAAGAGAGTTGGAGTACATGGGAGGGTTTGGAGCGAGGAATGGGAGATGATGCAGTGATCTAAATAAATAAATAAATAACAGCACTTAAGGGTCTGAGAGGGGACGAAAGGATAGCACAAAAGTGTTTTAATTAGCACGGGGATTCTCTCCCGAATCCCAGACCCAACAGACAGAGGCAGGAGGATCCCAAGGGCAAGGCCAGACGGAGCTACCTGGCAGGGTATCAGGCCAGTTTATCCCGGGCTACATAGTGAGACCCAGGCAAAGAAGGGGGGGGAGGGAGGAAGAAGGGGAGGAGGGAGAGAAGGGAGGAGGAAGAGGATGAGGAGGAAGAGGATGAGGAGGAAGGCAGTACTGACACCTCAAGTACTAGCTAATCCTTGGAAACTCGGGAGTGTAGACTTGGTTCTTCTAAGAGGTCAGGGTAAAACGCAGGAATCAAGCCTGCTCCTTGGCTCTGATAGAGCTACAGCCCCTCACTTGAGGACAGCAGTGTGTGTGTGTGTGTGTGTGTGTGTGTGTGTGTGTGTATGTGAGTGTGTGTAGCATGTGTGTGTGAATGTGTGTGTATGTGTGTATGTATGTGCGTGTGTAGCATGTGAGTGTGTGTAGCATGTATGTGAGTGTGAGTATGTGTGTATGTGAGTGTGAGTGTGTGTATGTGTATATGTGTGTGTGTGAGTGTGTGTAGCGTGTGTATGTGAGTATGTGTAGCATGTGAGTGTGTATGTGTGTATGTATGTGTGAGTGTGTGTGTAGCATTGTGTGTGAGTGTGTATGTATGTGTGTGTAGCATGTGTGTGAGTATGTGTATGTGTGTATGTATGTGAGTGTGTGTAGCATGTGTGTGTGAGTGTGTGTGAGTATGTGTGTATGTATGTGTGTGTGAGTGTAGCGTGTGAGTGTGTGTGTGTAGCATGTGTGTGATTGAGTGTGTGTATGTGTGTATGTGTGTGTAGCATGTGTGTGATTGTGTGTATGTGTGTATGTGAGTGTGTGTAGCATGTGTGTGTAGCATGTGTGTATAGCATGTGTGTATGTATGTGAGTGTGTGTAGCATGTGTGTGAGTGTGTGAGTGTGTGTGTTATACAGGCAGGCACTTCTGGGCTGGGTCTCCCTCCCTTCCTTCTTACCCTGATAAGCTCGGGTCTGTAAATCTAGCTCACCTCCAGGTTGCAGAGTGAGAGGTGCCCAGCGCTAGACAAGGGAAACGGCTTCCCCAGTGACCGCAAGCTCAGCGAGGGCGCTGGGTTCACTGCTAGGGTCGTCCTCCCTCCCTTCCTTTTCCGTCTCTCAAATATATGGGGAGGGAGAGTAAGGAGTACCGACAGACACAGCGCTGCTTCGTGTGAAGGGCCGTGTTTAGGGATATGAAATAGAAACCCTGCTGAAATCTAAATGACAAACATAAAGTTTAAAAGAAATTCACAGTAGTTTTAAGTTCATTTCCTCAGAAAATCCCTACTTTTAGGCACATCTAATTAACTTCAATTGAGTTTGGGATGACCCTGGCCCAGGAGAGGGTGGCAAGAAGCCACCACCACCAGAGGACACACACTGAGGCTGCTGGCAGAGGGAAGCTTTCCCAGACGCTGGGCAACTGGCAGAGCTGGCTTCAGGAGTAGCCGCTTTTCTCAGCCCAGACCTGGAGAGCCATGACTGGCTTTTTGCCAGAAAGCACTGGCCTGTCCCCAGTCCTCAAGGGAAGGGAATGGGGGGTGGGGTGGGGCTCTGTAAAACTGTCCTCTGATGACAAGGTAACCTTGCCAGTGGAGTGGCTGCTTTATGGGTGCTCACAGAAGGCACCCTGGCCGGGACAAGGGGAGGGGCAGGGTGGGAGAGGAAGCTGCTCTTCAGCAACACTGACCCTGGGGGAAGGCAGCAGGATTGCTGGCCCTGTCCTCTCAGTGGAAGCAGAGCTGTGGCTTCTTATTCAGACACACAGGTCTGAGCCTGCACGGGCCCCTGCAGAACCCACACTTTGCAGATTCTCCATGTTTCCTTGGGCCTCCAACACGTGCAAACACACTTGTGCAGGGATGGAAGCTGCCCTCCGCACATCAGCCCACGGCCACACAATCAGGGTGACGGCATGCATCGGAGCTGCTGCGCCAGGCTGGTAAACACCGCGATGGGCGTACAGATTTTACCGTCAGTCTTTGCCCTCACCTGGAGTGGTCCTCGGCTTTTCAAATGCTCGTAAGAAACCACAAAGGATGCACGCGATAAAGCGAAGAAAACAAATACATCTGTAGCCAGTGTGGAAGGGTAACTTCCACGAATAACCTTTCTTCAGTAAATCTGTTGTGTTTTTATCTTTGTCCCTCTATGGACGCATCTACTGATCTAAGGCCACAACACTACTGTGAGGTGGTGGCAGCCACCATCGCTGCAAACTCTAGTAGACGAGCAGAGTGCACAGATAACAAATATACTCCATGTACATACATACATACACATACAGGGTGTTTGCCTGCATGTATGTATGTGTGCCTGTACAGGGGGTGCCTGTGGAGGCAGAAGGTGTCTGATGCCCTGGAACTGGAGCTACAGACAGCTGTGAGCTGCCACGTGGGTGCTGGGAACTGTACCCAGGTCCTCTGCAAGCGCTCTACCCACTCAAAGACCCATCCATCCCCCTCCCCATTCACTCTGTAAGCTGAATACAGTCCTGTGTCCAACACACAGACAATCTCGTTTGCTATTACCTGGACAATGAGGGCATTTGCCTTAAGAGTTCAGTGCTGGTTTCCTGGGCATGGTGGCCCAGGTCTCCCAGCACTTGGGAGGCAGAGGCAGGGGGATCTCTACGAGTCTGAGGCCAGCCTGGTGTACAGAGCGAGTCCCAGGGCAGCACAGAAAAACCCTCTTGAAAGCCCAACCAAAGCAAACCACGGCAGGGGAATGGTGTTGGGCTGGGGTGACAGCCTCCTTGGTGAAGCTAACAATGAAGACAGAGAGTACAGTTCTTAAATGCTTCCGCCCCTTTAGTCAACGACACTGAGCCCTTTACATCCAGCGCCATTTGAATGGAGACTCTGAAGGTTAAAACCACCTTCTGTCACCTCGGCTGTCATCAGCCACCTCCTTTGCTCTGCATTTATCAGCAGGGACACTGATATGGGAGTAAGCTGCCAAGGCCGAGCCCCTCTCCTCACGTCCCAAGGACGGACGGGATCAGTGCAGCCGAGTCACTGTCGCCGTTAGAACGCTAACTAGAAGGGAGTCCGTGTGCCTCCAGAGGCGCCTGAGAGATGCTGTCAAGGATCTGATTATATTCTTTTGGTTACAGGTCCCCTGGGCTCAGATATGGAGGCTTTGAGCGCTCAGCTCTCAATCATTAAAACCATAGCAGGTGTGCAGAGACATTTACGACTCAGGCGAGGGAGGGAGGCCTTTAAAAGCTACAGCTGCAACACACGGTCTCGTGTCCCTGTAGATGAGCTAGGCTAAACTATGAGCGCCCAGTGTGACAGTCCATCAGGATGGTGGCGAAGCCATTTGCCAGGCGCATTTAGGATGTGGCTGCTAATGTCAGCTACTGCCACCACTAAGGCTGAGTACAGCCAGGTTCAGTCCAGTGTCTGCCAAAGGAAACAAATGGGGAAGGGAGGATGGAGCACGCCAGTGCTGGGACTGGACCCTCCCAGACCTGCAAAGAAGAGCTTCATACATGTGCTGTGGAGACAGGGAGGACAGAAGGAGCGGCTTTCAAATAACACATGAGACTACCCAGGAAAAACAAAAACCGGGCAGCCATCATCCTGTCATCGAGAGTCCACGTGTGGCATGTGGCTAAGGCGAAGGGTTGGGTGGGGGTGGACGCTTTTCCTGAGCAGCCAGTAGGCCAGACTAGCTGAACCAGTGAGCTCTGGATTTGACTGCAAGGCCCTGCTGCCAAAATAAGGTAGAGGTCATCTGAGGAATGTTCCCTACCTAGGGGCCACACACACGCAAACACACGCACGCGCGCACACACACACACTCACGCATGCACACACACGCACACACGTGCACATACAGACACACACACACCTCCACGTCACAGACATATGAATAGAATCCATTTTCACACCCATATGTAGCATCCCCCTAGAGGATTAGGGCAAGGTGTATCTGGGTAATTTGATGTTAAGTGCAGTCCCTTTGAGGGCTGGTTGTAAGGAGTATGGGTTGGGAGATGCCATTAGCTGGTGATTAGACTGGAATTCATTTTATAAGGACTTTGAACATGGTAATAAAATTAAATCTAAATTTAAATGACTCTTACTGGATTTCAAAACAAAACAGAACAAAAACAGTATTTACAAAATGGCTATCCCACCAGAACTAGCATTATAATATTATTAGATTCTCAAATCATTTTTTTAAAATTTCAAGACATTTAAGTATATTTCTCACTGTGTATCCAGAAAATAATCTCTGAATTTTTCTAAAGCAACTTGCTTTTTATACTGTTATTTCCTCAAAACATTTACTTGTAGCAAAATGACAAATGATAAATCATGTTAGTTCAATAAGTGACAAATAAATGGACATAAAAGCTAACCACAATTTAAAAAATGATGGAATGCAAAATAAAATGAAAATCAAACAAAAACAAAACAAAACACTCAGGGAATTGTACCCTTCTTTGCAGTTGAACATGGATCCTATTTTAAAATCAAATTCCCAAATGGTCTGACAGATAGTCTAGGCCTATAGCCCCAACATTGCAGAGAGACTTTGGGTGACTATTCAGGTATCCAGCTGTTTCTGTAATTTCTTACATCTTTTGGAAATCACTTGCAAAAAATAAATAAGTAAATAAAAAAATAAATAAGGGGTGTTATTGAAGATGTTAGACTTCTAGCTTCACATGGATACACCTGTATTCACATGCATTCATCACACACACACCTTCACATGCATTTATCACAGAGACATACACACACATTCACATGCATTATACACACTCACATGCATTCATCTCTCACACACATACATTCACATGCATCCATCACACACACACACATGCATCCATCACACACACATACACACACACCTACATTCATCACAACACACACTCACATGCATTACACATACACACACACGCATTCATCACATACACAAACACACTGTTCTTTCTGTATATAATGATTATTGATTCCAATCCTGCTCATATCCTAGTCCCTCCATATCCTCCCCCACCCATGCATCATCCCCCCCCAGCACAACCCCCCCAAATCAGTTAAAAACAACATCAAAACCCAAACAAAAGACCACCTGGCTCCTCTGTCTTTCCAACACCTCTTCAATAATACTGGTGGCACTGGGTGCTGTGGTGTGTCACTCTGCTCCACTCACAAGATGTCCACTGCGTGAGTCATCGGTCTTGTTCAAGGCCCCTGGCACACCATCATCACTAGAACACAGCCCAAACTCCTCTTGGATACCCTGCTGTTGGCTGAGTCACGGGGCCTGTGGTTACCATTCCAAAGGACCGGTCACTAGGGTGGGACGACTCTAGGCCCAGGATGAGGGTCTGGGTGGCAGCTGAGCTGGCTGGTCCAGGCCTCTGAACCACTCCCTCAGGTAATGGGCAGAACCAGCTCTCCCACGCCCATGGTGAGGGGGCGTGGCCAACTCTTTTGATACAGTTGGGGATAGGGCCAGCTATCCAGTGAGGGGCAGGGCTGGTTCAGCGTGGCCCTCTTGGATTTTAACACCAATGGTTACTATGACCTCCTATAGCAACACAGGCCATGGACATCATCACAGACCACAGATGCAGGACCATGGACCCAGACATGGCCCTCAGCAGTAGCTTGGGCCTAGACATTACCATGGTCCTGGTGGCAACATAGGCTACCCAGGTCAGTATGGTCCTGGTGGCAACAACACACTACCTGTGGACACTGACGTGGCCTCAGGTAACAGTCCAGACCCTGGGTATCCACGCAGTCCCTGGTGGAAACCGGAGCCACAGACTTAGCTCAGACCCTGGGTGATGCTGGACCATGACACACAATGCTTTGTAGTTACGTTCCTCTCCATGGTGATGGACAATGGCTAGCTACTGACGCTGAGTCTGTTTAGACAGCAGCTCAGAATAAAGATCAGGATGAAATGGAGATGACTAAGACTCAACCACTCATCCCTTGCTTTGAGTTCCAGGCTGTAAAGTCGCTGCCTTCAGCGTATGTGTGTGGGTGCTGTGACCGACCAGATGGGGCTGTTTGCTGACCCCCAAGTCAGTAGGCTCACTGGCTCCATCAGGGTTGATTAGACAATTCCTAGTAATTACATTTTCAGCTGTCTAGATGGTTATTCTTAAAGTTTCAAGACTGTCATGTTGCCCCGATGAGAAAAAAAAAAAAAAAAAAGCATTGATAGTAAGAGTCAAGACAACCTGACGGGCAATCAGTGTGCACTTAGGCTGGCCCACTGTGTGTCTCGTTTGGGTTGTCTCTGGTTCCTTTTTGACAGAGTGGGCTAAATATCAGATGCTGCTCCCCTCAAATGATTCACTAACAAAGTCAGGAACAAGTCGTCCCTCCACTCTTCCTACAGCGAAGAGAGGAGAAACGGTTTTGGTCACATTTTCCATTTTCCCAAAGAAGCCCTCCTGTCTCCAGACCCCGACCAGAATCTTCGCAGAGCGTCTCAGCCCGCGGGGGCAGAGCCGGGCAGCTGTCAGTGTCTACCTCCTCATTTAGAGGCACAGACCCAGGAACAGCTGTTGACAATTAAATTAATTATCCTTTGTGAGCAGTGCTCCGAGGCTGTCCCCAGGCTGTCCCCAGGCTGTCCCCAGGCTGTCCCCAGGCTGTCCCCAGGCTGTCCCCAGGCTGTCCCCAGGCTGTCCCCAGGCTGTCCCCAGGCTGTCCCCAGGCTGTCCCCAGGCTGTCCCCAGGCTGTCCCCAGGCTGTCCCCAGGCTGTCCCCATGACTGCACAACACTCAGCTCTCAGTCTCCCTCCGGAGCCCACCTCCCTTGGCACAGGATCACTCCTGTGTCTCAGGCAAAGACTTGTCTTTGAAAAATGACCATCACATACTTCTCTGGCTTGTGACAAGCAGTTTCTGCAGCATTCTGCGACACGCCCGCCTATATATCCCTCAGCCCTGTTATCAAGGCGGAGGCACAGCCCGGTGCCCCGAGTCAGGCCCAGCCACCCATACTCAATAGCCAGAAATAAAAAGCCAGATTAACAGTGGGGATCAGAGGAAGGAGGGCTGTTCAATGTGACCACAACGGGAAGAGATGCAGTGACATCCCTCAGAGTCCTTCAGGATCACAAAGTGAGGCCAGTTTCAAGGGAGGGCCGGGCATATGCGTATCTAAGCAGCCCTGGTCGAGAGAGATGTGGTCCCGCCCGCCCGCCCACCTGGGACCCAGTCTCACGGGGGAGGGGTCTCACAATTTGTCAGAGCTTCCTCAAGTATCTTTCCCAGAGGTAAGATTGCCCTGGCTGCTGCCTCTCCCTTCTCCTTAGTGAGATTCCTAGGAGACTCTCATCTCTCTGGGGTCCAATGTTTCCATAGTCTGATGGTCAGACTGAAAGATAAGAGTCTCCTCAGGGTCTCTGAATCTCTGCCAGATCACTCAACGGCCCCACATGGTTGAGCCAAGGGCTGGGTGAAGGCAGCTTTGCCAGCAATGCACCCTTGTCATGTGGGAACGCTATTGGCCAAGGCCCTGGGGCACAACTTGAACTTGCTCATGTTTCTCTCAATAATCGGCAACTGTTCCTATCCAGTCAGTAACACTGGATGTGAGATCTGGGCATCTCAGACCCCAGGCTTTGCATTTCAACTACAGAACTCAGGACTAAGGCAAGTGTGGCGGAAGCAGACCCCAGGGCAGACAGGAGTCCCGGTCTCTGGGACACATGCAGGGACTGCAGGGGACGGCAGACTGCCAGGTCTGACACACAGACCTGAGCACTCACAGGCTGGGGCCAGGGTGCCGTGTTTCTGCTCTCAAGTCAAGGGACGGTGCACAGCACAGAAGCAGGAGACTCAATGTGTGTAGACGCGAGCTGCAGAAAGACATGGGGTGCCTTCGGGGAAACCCCGCAAAACCACGGAAACCGCCCGGCTTGGATGCTGTTCTGTTGCTGTGATCAGAAACCACAACCACGACAGTTTACAAAAGAAGTGTTTATTTGGGTTTACAGCGCCACAGGGTTAGAATCCATGCCAGTCACAGCGGGGAGCACGGTGGGCAGCCAGCACTGGGTCAGCTCGAGAAAACCGTGAGGCAGAGCTAGCTGGGTCTGGCGTGGGCTGTAGGAACTTCTAAGCTAGTGACACACCGCCTCCAACAGAGTCACAGCTCCTAATCCTTCCCAAACAGCTCCACTAACTCTAGACGGAGATTCACCACCGGAGCCGATGGGGCCGCCATTGTCCTTGACACCACCCCAATGCCCCTCAGTATCATTAAAATGTCCCAGTACGGAGCCCCACAGGTTCTTACGCTAGAGGAGTTTCTGGTATACAACTAATGGTGCATTGCTCACACAGAATGAATCCTGTTGGTTTATATGTATGTAGAGTTCTGACTCTAGATTTCTGAGGCAAATTATTTCTCATTCCCAGAAAGTGTGTTGTTTAACAAGAAGGCAAAAACCTGATGGATCTGAAAGCGACAGAAATGTCTGTTGGAAAATTAGAGAAGACAGTTGTGTTGCCAGGCATTGGTGTGCACAACTTTAATCTCACCACTCAGGAGGCGGAGGCAGGTGGATCTTTGTGACTTGGAGGCCAGCATATTCTACACAGCAAGTTCCAGGCCAGCCAGAGCTATGTTGCCAGATCCTATCTTAAAAAAACAAAAACAAACAACCCCCCCAAAACTCCCAAAACCAAAACAACAACAACAAAAAACAAAGAGAGGAAAAAAAGAGTCATCAATTTTCTGAGGTATTCCAAACACCTTATTACATTAGGAGGCTGAGGCAAGAGGATTAACATAAGTTTGAGGCCAGCTTTGGTCATAAAGCGAGACCCTCAAACATTTTTTACAATTATTTGAAGTGTCATTTTCATATGGAGAAAGCAAGTTTACAACAGTTACTTACTTTGACTGAGTTGTTTTCTATTTTCTTCTGACTTTGATTTCTTCTTCTTGGTCTCTAAATATAAAAAGGGCAGGAGTTCAGGTCGATGTTCCAAGGGTCACCTTTTCACAGAAAAGGGTTAGCATTTGTTAACGGTATTGGGGTTTCCTTTAATTCGAAGAGATCTGTGGTTTGAAGTCAGTGTTTAATGGGGACTTGAAGGAAGTACTGTGAAGTCCAAGTTAACAGTGAGTAGTTGAAAAGGAGACATACATAAAATGTAATAAAAACCGAGAGAAGAATCTAACTATGGAAGGCGTGTGTGTACAAGCAGTAAGCTGATGAGCTTATGTGCTCAGCACTGAGCCGCATCTCCAGTCCACTGTTTACTTTTATGTGCTTATGGCGATCACACCAAGTTGCTCCCACTAGCTGTGTGGTGCAGTCAGGCTTTGAACTCGTAACTTGCCTGATCGGCCTCCTGAATTAACATTTTTAAAGCAGAGGATTTATTATATAATACTATGCTGCTAGTGGTTTCTACACTCACGCACAGGGAAACGCGTGGACAGAAGAGGAACCCACACCTTCCTTCTGTGTAGCCACACTTTGACCACGTGTGCAGTGCGTGTAAAATACCATATGCGGTGTGAATGTCCCGTGTGGCACCACACTGCCTCTTTAAGCCATAATGATAATGTACACTGTTAGTATTTTATTTCTGAGTGTCTTATTACGTGGTTGGTCAAATTTGATGTTTGTTAAATGTGTGCATGAACCTTGAACCCAGGAGGGATGAGTATGTACTGGAGTGGGGCTGAAGGACATACTGTGCATACATGTTTACACGGGAACCGGCGTATCTAACTGAGAAGTGGCGAATTGAATGGCACTGAGCACAGAATACTTCTACGTCACAGATGAGAGCGCACGCTATAGCTGACAAGTGAAAAATAAGAAAGCAAATGTTCCAAGTGTGGGCTGGTGTGGCGATGCGTGCTTCAATCTCAGCACAGGGCAGAGGTGAGACCCCCTCGGACCAGAGTTCAAGGCTGAGCTGGCTACATAGTAATTCCAGGCCTGCCCGGGTGACAGAGTGAGACTTAATCTCAAAAGACCAACATAAAACAACCAGGCAGAGCATTCTAGGTCAACAGGGAAAGCTCCTTAGGCATATCTGACAATTGAGAATTACTAGGTTTTGCCAGTGTTTGATTATGGAGAGCAACCCCATGTCTACATGGCAAGCATTTACTCACTAAGCCATCTCCCCAGAAACACACACACACACACACACACACACACACACACACACACACACACACACACACCCTCTGCCTCCTCTGTGCTGGAACCATGTATGCTTTTGGCTTACCTGGGGCTGGTTGCGGCTTGGCTGGCTGAGATTTCAGCTGCATACCCAACCTGCTTTCAGGAATGTCTGAGTCACGTGATTCAATGAGAGAGCAGTAGGGATGTGGAGGGGTGTGGGGACTGCGGCACCAAGGACTCCTATTGGGTAAAACGGTTGGAGAGATTTCCTTTCTTCTGTAACAAGAGAAAGACCAATGTGAAATCTAAAGGTGTTTTATGCAGTAGCGTCGGTATTGGAAGTGCAATTCGTGAGAAAGCCTATTTAAAAAACCAAGAGCGAGCACTGGCTGCTCTTCCACAGGACCCCACATGGTGGCCTTTAGCCACCTGTAACTCCAGCTCCCAGACGCCCTCTTCTGGCCTCTGTGGGTACTGCATGCATGCAGGCAAAACACCCACACACACAAAATAAAATTAAACGATAACAATAAAAAAAACAAAACAAAAAAAAAAAAAAAAAAAAACCAAATAGCATGTCTTTTCTGGTCTTGCAGGCAGAGCATTTACTATGTCACAAGCATTTGCTCTGTCCTCAGCTAGCTTGAGGATAACATTTTTAGGCACGCTTCTGTTTCCACCTTCCCTCCTCTCTACAGTTGCTTTGCCTCACACAGCAAGCAATGCAAGGAAAAGTGAAGGGGTCCGGGGCCTCATGGCACCCTCCAAGGCCTGTGGGTAGACGCCTGCTCTCCTGCGTTTTGTACTGGAGCCACAGCCCATTGATTGATTGATTGATTGATGGGCACACATCTGCTCCCAGGCCTTCCCACACGCTGGCTCACTGGCGGGAACGGACTCCATGGATAGAGAAAATGAAGCATGGTTTACCTCACAAGGGCAGGGCAGACGGGCTGTATCTGACACTGCTGGGAGGGCTCTTTCTTGGTTGGCTCCTGCTTTTCCTTATTTATGGAAGACGTCGATGTCGTCCACCTGAACATATGGCCTTTCAGTGTTGGAATCACTACTGAACACCTCTCAAATTCAATATCAGTCTCTAACTTCTCCCACGCTTGCTTCCAGTGGATTGGGGTGTACCAGGCAATAGCCTAACAGAAACGAAGAGGGTTCTCGATATAAAATATTGCCGGAGTTTACTGCCATAGGCCTACTGCACTATTATTTAGCTCATGTCCCTGATTTTGTTTGGCTCTTACTCTGCGGCCCAGGTTGTCCTGGCACACTTGCTATGTTGCCCAGCTATTCTACAAGTCATGGTAATCCTCCTGCTCCAGCCTCCAGCTTGCTGGGATTAAAGGTGTGAACTTTTACGCCCTTGAATTAATTTCTAAAATAAAATTTTATTATTTTTAAGTTTCCAATATCAACTATAGAACACACACACACAATCTGTGGCAAGAGCTAGTGAAATTTACTTTAGAAAACCCTAATACAGTGCCCTTTCAGTACTTATTCCATGTGTCGTGCGACAGGTCTCTACACTTATGCTGTGCGTCTTCTTTGGGTGTAAACCAACAGAGATACTTCTGGGTCACCTGCAAATTCTACTGTGGTTTCTTTAAACAGCCCTTCCCAGAGCTCCCGCTGTGAAGACAGGATCTGCTCCCTATCTGGACCTTAAAAGCAACAAAGGCCTGGCAAAGTACCAGAAGTTTCTGCCTGCACCTGAAAATACGAGAGTGCATACTGTCATCACTAATGTGCTATAAGTCTATGGATTTCAAAACAGGGCAGGATGTCTGCCAGTCATGTTGGGATCAGATAGGATTCATGGCCACGTCTTAACCGTCACTCGGTGTCGGGGGATCTCAGGCCTGTCTGCTTCATTCAACACGTGGAATGAGATTTTTCAGGAAAATCTTTCTTGAGATTGTGGAGTGAGGACTAGTTTCACTAAGGATGGGAGTGATTTCCTTCTTTCCTTCCTTCCTTCCTTCCTTCCTTAGAACTGTGTGATTTTTAGGGTCTCATGTGGACATAGGGTCTCCTTGCCTTCTTATTAAGGGTGTCCTTTCTAGCTGAAGAAGGCTGTTACAAATAAAGCTGCTACAAACATAGTTGAGCAAGTGTCCTCACGGTATGATTGAACATCCTTTGGGTGTATGCCCAGGTGCCATATTGCTGGGTCTTGAGGTAGACTGATTCCCAGTTTTCTGAGGAACCACCATACTGATTTCCAAAGTGGCTGTACAAGTTTGTACTCCCACCAGCAATGGAGGAGTGTTCCCCTTTCTCCACATCCTCTCCAGCATAAGCTGTCATTTGTGGGGTTTTGTTTTTTGGTTTTTTTTTTTTTTTTTGGTTTTTTCGAGACAGGGTTTCTCTGCGGTTTTGGAGGCTGTCCTGGAGCTAGCTCTTACAGACCAGGCTGGTCTTGAACTCACAGAGATCCGCCTACCTCTACCTCTGCCCCCCCCCCCCCAGTGCTGGGATTAAAGGCGTGTGCCCCCACTGCCTGGCTTGTGGCTTTGATCTTATTCATTCTGACAGGTTTACGATGGAATCTCGGAGTTGTTTTGATTTGCATTTCACTAATGGCTAAGGATGATGAACATTTCTTTTAGAGTTTCTCTGACATTTAAGATTCTTTTATTGAGAATTCTGTTTAGATCTGCACCCCGTTTTTAATTAATTTGTTTTTTTATGTCTAGTTTCTTGATTCTTTATAATTATTTTGGAAATCATCCCTCTGTCTGATGTGAGGTTGACGAGGTTTTCCCCCCATTTTGCCCTATTGCCACTGATCTTTGCCTCACAGAAAGAAGCATCCCAGTTTCAGAAGGTCCCATTTATTGATTGCTGTTCTGAGTGTCTGTGCTACTGGTGTTCTATTCAGGAAGTGGTCTCCAGTGCCCATGCGTGCAGTGTTATTGCCCACTCCCTCTTATACCAGGTTCGGTGTATCTGGTCTGACGATGGAGCCTTGATCCACTTGGACTTGAGGTTTGTACAGGGTGACAGATATGGATCTATTTGCATTCTTCTGCATGCTAACACCCAGTTAAGCTAGCACCATTTGTTGAAGATGCTTCCTTTTCTTTATTGTATAGTTTTGGCTTTTTTTTATTATCAAAAATAAAGTATCCGTACGTGTGTGAATTTATGTCTGGGTCCTCGATTTTATTCCATTGATGAATCTCTGTTTTCATGCCAATACCAGTTTTTATTACTATAGCTCTGTAGTAGCTCTTGAGATCAGGGATGGCAGTTCTTTTATTGTACAGGATTTTTTTTAGCTATCCTGTTTTTTTTTTTTTTTCCGTGTGTGCGTTTCTATATGAAGCTGAGCATTGTTCTTTAAAGAATTATGTTGGGATTTTGATGGGGATTGCATTGAATCTGTAGATTGCTTTTGGAAGGTGGCCATTTTTACTATGTTAGTCCTACCAATCGATGAGCATGAGAGACCTCTCAATCTCCTATTATATCCTCCAATTTCTTTCTTCAAAGACTGGAAGTTCTTGTCATATAGGCCCTTCACTTCCTTGATTAGAGTTACACTAAGATATTTTATGTTGTTTGTGGCTATTGTGAAGGGTGTTGTTTCCCTGATTTCTTTTTCAGTTTGGGTGAAATGTTCTGTAGATAATCTGTTAGTTTTTTTATTTCTCTGTTTAGCTTCTGTTTGTATGACCTATCAATTGGTGAGAGTGGATTGTTGGAGTCTCCCACTGTTAATGTGTGGGGTTTGATATGTAATTTTACCTTTACTAATGTTTCTTTTACTAGTGTGGGTGTCCTTGTATTTGGGGCATAGATGTTCAGAATCGAGACATCATCTTGGTGGGTTTTTCCTTTGATGAGTATGAAATGTCCTCCGTCTCCTTTGATTAATTTTAGTCTGAAGTCTATTGTTAGCTATTAGGATAGCTACACAAGCTTGCGTCTTCAGTTCACTTGTTTGGCAATACTCAAAAACACATGCATTACACTCACATAATACAAGATACACAGAGCACTTTCACAGACACACACACACACACACACTCACATATACACACCCACACACAGAACACACATTCACATACACAGCACACACTCAAGTGAAATAAAATCTTTTAAACTCACTCCAGCACGCAGTACAGCTGTGTAAAGAAGGAAGAAGGAAATGCACGCTCTGGTCAGCACGGTGTAGGGTTAGTGGATTTTCAGCACAGTAAATTTGTCAAAGGACAAGAATTAAAGACAAGAATTAAGGAGATACCTTAAGAGCGTTTTGAAACACAAGTAGTGTTTGGTTGACATAGAAAGGTTAAATTATCCTACTGGTATGTCCAAGGCTATTTAGTCATGCTAGCATCATACCAAGGGAAACAAAGTGTCAAGCATCTGAAGAGAATTACAGATTTTAACATATCTAGTTTTTCTGTATGAAAGACAAGTCATTTCAAATTAAGAGTATAAGCCCTTCCATTAGAATGTGCATCTCCTGAGCACAGAGATCATGCGTGTTACATTCCTTGTGCATAGTTCAGCCTAGAGAATGGGCAAGAGTCTCACGAAATAGCTGGATGAGTAGCTGACCAGAGAAGCCTGTGTCCAGTGCCTTCCTTACCCCACACTCCCACATAGCACAAACAACAAGGCCCACTCTGACTCTGACTCTGCTGCAGCCTGGGCAAACAAGGCACAGCATGGCTCTTGCTGGCCAGAGCACAGCGGGAAGGGACAGCTGTTGTCTGCCTCAGGTGCTTTGGCATTTGGGCGTGATCCCAGTTAAGGGTTGCAGAATGTGAGACAGAGCAGAAGGTTACCCGCGGGCAGGCTGCTCAGCAACAGCCGCCGACCCTGACGCTCACCTCACCGTGGGGTTTGCACAGGATGGTCGTGCAATCCGGACTGCATCGGAACCTGTTCTGCTCCTCCCAAACGAAGTCCGTTGGTGGCTGGGGCTTCGCTTCAGCTGCTGCCGCCCACACCTTTGAGAAAGCAGTTTGCTGCTGACAAATGACACTGGGGATCCACTCAGATCCACAGATGTCACTGTCATTAATCTTTCTGCACAGGTAGGGTTTTCAAAGTCATTAAAGGAGGGGAAAGGTGTGCTTGCGTTTGCCTGGGCTGGAGCTCCTTGTGCCGCAGCCTCCCAAGGCCCTGGGACTACTTCTAAGCTGTTTTAAAATATAATAGAACACAGTTTAAACAACTACCTAGTCCATGGTATGCGGGCTGTGAGAGACCCAAGGTTGCAGCCCAACCGCACGCTGTAAACTTACTGACATCTTTGAGTTTTTTTTTATTGCTCTCAAATGTGAACTTAACAGATGACAAGGTCTTATCTCAAGGTCATGCAAAACTAAAACAATGCACTCTTACCACCTCCTGTCAAGCACCGGGCACACCCCAGGCTCAGAGAGGCACAGGCAAGTGGAGAGCAGACCGAGCGCCTGCTCTCTGAGCCAGCTGTCTTAGCTCGTCTTTTAAGAAGGTGTTTTCTTAGTTTAGGGACTTAGGACTTCCACTTCAGTAGCTAGGGGACACGCCTGAATAGGACTGTGCGCAGAACTGAAGAAGGCTCCGGGGACTGAAGTGCGGGTGTCTGTCCACACAAGTCACAAGGTTCACATTCGGTACGAAGACAAGTGCCCAAGTCGCCAATGGCTGAGTGGAGAGGGAGCTTTCCCTACCCCTCCCTGGCCCTGGTATTCCCAAATCACTATGTTTGCAGCTCCCGGTGTCCCCAGCTCACCACACGACTATCTCATGGATTCCCTGCTCATGAAGTTCAGGTCAGGCAGTACCGGCTCACAGTTCTTCCCAGCTCCTGATATTTCTGGCTGATAGCATCCCAGTGCACTAGTAAATCCTTAGTTCATGGTATTCTCAGATTATGGCATCCCCAAGACTCACTGTATTCCCAGCTCACCACGATCTCAAATCTGGTCAGATCCTGGCATTGCCACCACGTGGTTATTCCCAACTTGCTGCATTTTTAGCTCATGGTTTCCATGACTCACTGCATCCTTAGGTCCTGGTTCTCCTAGCTCACAGTTTTCCCAGATCACTGTATTCCCAACTGAGCTGTTCTCAGTCCTGGTATTCCTCAATACACTGTATCTTCAACACACGGGATTTACATTTCAAGGTATTCCCAGCCAAAGGAGCTCTCACTAACTATTCTCAGGGCATGGCATTTCTACTTTAAGGCATTTCCAGTTCCTGGCATTCTTGGCTCACGGTGTTCCCAGTCTGTATTCCAGCTCAAGGCATTCCCAGGGCATTGTATCTCACCACGGCGGTCAAATTTCTATTCACACGTCATTGTATTCCCACTGTGTGTTCCCAGCTCATGGTGTTTCCAGGGCACAGTGTCCCTAGCTGATGGTGTTCCTACTTTGTGATGGTTCCAGACCATACTTACTGTTACCGTGGAGCTGGCCTGCATTGTGATGCTTGGGGGGAATCGGTACAGAGAAACTGCTTGTCCGTTAACGTTCTGTTGGAGAATGTGGTTCCCGATCTCTACTTCTTTGTCGGCGGAAGCGTTAACGAGCCTCACAAACAAACCCTTGACGTTTACGTCAGCTATTTTAATGTCTTCAAGAAAACTAGAAAATAAGAAATACAGGTGGGTCTGGATAGAAATGTCTTCAGCACATAGTAAGAACTCAGTAACATGGTGCCTGCCTGTAATCTCAGCCCTGAGAACACAGCGGCAGGGGTAACACTGCCCCCACGTGAAACAGAGCTCCTGTGGATTTTTTAAATGACTTATTATTTCATGTGTATGGGTGTTTTGCTGGCTTGCATGTGTGTGCATTACACGCGTATAGTACTCACAAAGGTCAGAAAAGGGCACTGGGTCTGGAGTTACAGACAGTAGTGAGCTGCCATGTGGGGGGGGGGGGGAATTGAACCCGGGACTTCTGGAATAGCAGCCGGTGCTCTTAACCACTGGGCCATCTGTCCAGCCCCAAGAACTTGTGTATTCTTCAACCTAAGAAAAATGGCTTGCCCTGTTGGTTCTGATCATTATCAAAGCAGCAGTTAGTGCTGACCATTTTACATGGAACAAAGGGAACCTGGATGTGGCTAGGTGCCGGGGCAGAAGAGTAACAGGAAAACGTGGCTTTGGTTTTCTCCGTTTCCTACTCTCAGCAGAAGCCACTGTGGCATCAAATACTCAGAGGGAAATCAAGGGGCCGGGGACAGCTCACTGGCTGAGTGCATCTGTTGTTCTTTCAGAGGACCTGGGCTTGGTTTCCAGAACACGCAGGGCAACTCCGAGCCTCCAACAGCTCTAGTCCCAGAGGATCTGATGTCCTCTCCTGGCCTCCAAGGACACCACACACACATGATGCATGGTCATGGGTGCAGACGTCCACACATACGCATAAAAATGAGTAATCTTACACCACAGCATCAAAAGTCAGGGCACACGGTTCTTTCTTGGGAAAGTGACTGTGACAATGAATGGCTACTGTGAGTTCAAAAATAGTTCCGGATCGTGACATTATGTACACATACAATGGTTTGCTTCTAGTTGGTGTTAAGACTACAGCATGTTGCAGGGCATGTTAGCCAGTTACACATGTGCATTCCTCAGTGTCACTTGCACCACACCCGAAGGTCATGACTTCCCTGAGCTGAGTTAGAAACATCGATATTTCTCAGTCGATTACAGTAATTCATCCTGCTTACATGTCAGTCACTTGACAAAAACATAGTGATATTGTTTCATCTTTCTTCACATTTCTTACCTATACTGTCAAATTAAAAGTTATGAAAATCCACGTGTGTGTGTGTGTGTGCATATATGTGCATGTTTGTGTACTTGCAAGTGTACACACATGCAGGCACTGCTTCATATGTGTGGAAGTCACACACAGTTTACAGGAGCTAGCTCTCCTTCCGTCACGGACAGCCCAGGGATCAAACTCAGGCCTCTTACTCTTGGTGGCGAGTGCCTTTCCCTTGTGAGCCACCTGACCCTTGAGTTTTCAGCCTTCTCTGTCTGTTGTTGTAACCCTCGGTCTCCATAATTCAGGTGTCTATTTTCATCAATTTCTTCTCCTAACACAATGCACTGTTAAACCTGTGGACAGGAAGAGTCTCTGTTGTTGGATACTTTATTGTAGAACTCACCTTTGGTCCTTTTACTTCTAGTGGAGAGAGCTAGGCTGAATGTTTCAGTCACAGCTTGATCGAATCCCTAGATGCCTAGGCCATCTCATCTTCTACGCCTGCGCCTACAATCTTTTGTGTCTGGCCTTTACTTCCTGAGCATGCCGTTGATTTGGTTTCGTTTCTGGCATCATATATTTAAACTCTGCAGAGAGATTGCTTAAGGATCTGCATAATGTTTTGTCAAAGCTTGGCTTCTGGCAGCCACCTAAGTTTTAACACAGGCAAGCCCACGCCAGTCTCACTGAATCAGTTTGAAGTGCCTGGTTTAACCTCAGGATGTATCCTTTGACATTCTCATTGGACACCTGGTTTATCCATGCCCTTGACACCTCCCATTTTAAAGTCAATCATGACAGAGCCTCACACTGCTCAACCCTTCTCCTCTTAATGTCAAAGGTAAGTGTTGAGGCCTCCAAACCCTGGGCAGTCCCTCTAGTCCAGCTCCTGACAGAGGCAGTGTGAACATGCACTTCCGGGCAATCTCTTCCAAACAGTCTCCTCTCCTCACGCCCCCCTCACGCCCCCCCCTGCCGGCAGGCGGGCAGCTGCTTCAGAGCCTCGCCTCTGAGCTTCCAGGCCCCTGACCCTCCTCTGTGTTACCATTCATGGCTCTGACTCCTTTGTGAGTGCACCTTTTTTCTCTTCTTCAAATCCCAGGGCCCTGTGACGTTGTGCTCGTCTTAGTGGTACTGAAGTCTCTGCGGGATGGTTTTATTTTTTAAGGTTTATTTACTGTATGTATGTGCTGTGTGTGTAGGAGCTCACAGAGACCAGAAGAAGCACCAGGTCACCTGGGACAGGAGGCAGTTGTAAACTGCAACATGGGTGCTGTGGGGTGGGGTGGGGGTGGGGTGGGGTGCTGTGGGGGTGGGGTGGGGATGGGGGGGTGGGGGTGGGGTGGGGTGCTGTGGGGGTGCTGTGGGGGTGGGGTGGGGTGGGGTGGGGGTGGGGTGGGGTGGGGTGGGGGTGGGGTGGGGGTGGGGTGGGGTGGGGGGTGGGGTGGGGTGGGGTGGGGTGCTGTGGGGGTGCTGTGGGGTGGGGTGGGGGGGTGCTGTGGGGGTGGGGTGGGGGTGGGGATGGGGGTGGGGTGGGGGTGGGGTGCTGTGGGGTGGGGTGGGGGTGGGGTGGGGTGCTGTGGGGGTGGGGTGGGGTGGGGGTGGGGGTGGGGGTGGGGTGGGGTGGGGTGGGGTGGGGTGGGGATGGGGGTGGGGTGGGGTGCTGTGGGGGTGGGGTGGGGTGGGGCGGGGGTGGGCGGGGCTCTTAACCACTGCGCCACCCTCCCCAGCCCATTTCTTGGGTTTCTATACAACACTTGCACTTCTCAGATTTCCTTTGTCTAAGCCTCTATCTGAGATTTGTTTTGAAGCAGATGGAAAAGTGGGCCATTCTTTGTAGCATACAGTCAAATATTTTGTAGTTGCTTTTTAAGACTCTCGAATGGTCAAGTGAAGTTTTATTATTACTCTAACTTTGTTTCCACGCACACGTGTAAGACTCATTTGCTGTCTAGAACAGAATGTTGTTTGTGTCCAGGAACTTGCCTCTCCTTCTGTAGCAGACGCTTCACACGGCACGTGGAAACGCCGAGGCTGCCGCTAATCTGGTGTCGCGGCCTTCAGTACTTGTCCCTTCCTTCCCTGAAAGTCTTCGAACGTGTTCTTTCTAGGACAGCCGCCCTGAGACCTCCGCTTGTAATCAGTGGTAGGCTGAGTGCGAGGCTCGCCTGTGGTCTTCCTGTCTGCAGCTGCGCCACATTTAATTGTACGGACACGGGAAGACGCAGGCTACGCCAACTGGAAGTGAAGGAACGTCACACTCTCCTTTCTTGTGCAGCCTCGGCTTCCTCATCGTGCCGTGTTGCCATTCGGCTTTCAAGTTTCCGGTACTCTGAGATTTGCTGTCAGTCTCAGTGACGCCGCAATTGGGTGGCAGAGCTGTCTGCTGACGGGGGCAGACTTCCACCAGGAAGGGCTTAAGTCTCAATCAGTCCTTTGGGAATAGATGTCCATGCACGGATCATGGCAGGAGCCTGTCTCAACCCCAAGCTTGCCCCTTCTGATTTTAGACCTGAACAACTAGGAAACTCCTTGGGAGCACTACTCAGCTTTACTGGTCAATTTGACTCAGCTTAGGGTCACAGGAGAGTGGAGCCTTGATTGAGGAATTACTGAGATCAGATTGCCTAGGGCATGTCTGGGGGTGTTTTCTTGATGTTTAATTGGTGTAGGAGGGCTCAGCCCACAGTGGGCGGCACCAGTCCTTGGGGAAATGGTCCTGGGCTGTCTAGGAGAGCCAGAGTGAGCCAGCAAGCAGAGCTGCTCCCTGGCTCCCACTTCCGTCCCTGCTCAGACAGCCGTCGGGGATGGATTCTGACCTGCGAGTAAGAGTCAGACCTGGTCTGCTTGGTCAGAGGGTTTTATTGCAGCAGCAGACTATGCCAGAGGTAGAGATGGAGCGTAGACAGGAAGGCTGTCCCCTTAGCGACATCTGCTCACGGGAGCTAAGCTCGGCAGGGCTCAGACAGTGAGAGCTCTCACAGCCCATACTTCACATCCTGTTTGCCTACAAACCCTTTTGTTTTCCTGGTTGGCAAAAATTAAAGCGATCCCCAGAGATGGTGGGTGGTGGTGGGAAAAAAAACAACAGCTTTGACTGAAAACACCCAACTGTGAGGAGAGGAGTGGAGTTCCTACCCCACTTCAGACAGCTGAGAACATAACACATACAAATATTTCTGAAGATGTCAGCATATTGATCCAAGGCAGGTGGCAGTGCCCGACAGGCAGGAAAAACAGAGCGTTGTGTTTATGCGCTTCCCCAGAGAGATGGAACCACATAGAACCACACACACACACACACACACACACACATACATACACACACACACATAGTACACACACACATAGTACACACATACACACACACACCACACATATACACATACATACACACACATACACACATACACACATATACACCACACACATACACATACATACACACACACATACATACACACACATACACACACCACACACATGCACATACACACACATACACCACACACATACAAACATATACACACACCACACACACTACACACATACACACATACATACACATCACACACACACACATACGTACCACTCACACACCACACACATACTACACACACACTATACACACACCACACACTATACACATATACACACATCACACACACACATACATACCACATACACACACCATACACATACACACACCCCCACACACACCACACATATATACCACACACCACACACACACACCACATACATACAAACATATACACACACCACACACACACCACACACACACACACACACACACACACACACTTGTGTTTAGAGGTTTTAAAAAGTCTTTCTATACCTTTGCCTTAATCACCACGTTTACTATGACAGACACTGAAGGGGCTTGATAGAACAAACACTTAGGGTCCCTCCATCATCTGTAAAATGGCATACAGGGCCTGAGTGACTGGAAGCATGGCTTAAGGGAGCTGGCACCCTGTGCCCCGCTCCCCAGAGCTCTCAGACACCCATCTCCATGCTTTGCTTCATCCACTTTTCACAGCTCAGTCTTCCACAGACTGAGGGTTAAGAAATAGACCAAGCTCCCTCCTTTTAGTCCCAAGAACAACTTTCTTCTTGATCAATTCTTTTCATAGAAATTGACAACCATAAAGATGGATCATTGGTGTAAAAATTCACCTTGTTCTTACATTGAACTCAATCCATTATCTGGCAGCAAAGGCCTCTGTGTGAGCTATGGATTATACTATGTCATTTTTTTCTGGAATATTCGGAAAATTCCCATCCCTTGGTTGGTCCTCTAGAAACTTCTATCGGTTGTTTCTAACTGCTCTGAACACATGTGGCTACAGTTCAGGGAATTCCTTTTTTAGGGTTCTTTTAAATAAAAGTATCCAACAATAGCTCAGAGCTCTGCTCTGTCCTGTGCTATGGCCCCGCAGAAAAGGGGAAGTTATTCAGATGTGTACCTGGATGTGAACTGGCCGACTTCTTCAAGAATCACAGAAAGGTGCTTGGTCACATCCTCAGCTTGGGACGAATGTGCCGTGAGTTTCTTCGAGTCTCCAAACAAAGAAAAGAAATAATCCTCTCCTTCCCCCAACACAAGAATGTCCGAGTCAAAGCTCAGTAGGGGCTGTTTCTTTGGAATCATGAAGCTTGGGCCTTTCAAAGAAATTGGACAAGCAAGTGAGACAGACATGTAAGTCATCATCAAAAGAATCCATGTTTACAGAAGTATGTTTCTTTATAGCCCGTACTGCCCATCACACTCAGCAGAAGAATCAGAAGCGCCGGTGGGAGCTCTACAACCTCCTCACTCACTAGAGATGGATTATCCAGCTGTCTTAAACGTCCAGTGGCGCTTGCACGGACTGTGCAGCCATCTTGGCTCTGGCCTCCTTGGGGAATTCACTTTCCCTGTTTGTTCCCTGTCGTGAGCACGCTGGGTGTTTAGCTGAGTACTTAGCTGCACTAGGAACTGTATTTGTCAGTAAATATTGAACCTGTCAAATTTGGGCATTACACATACAAATATAGTCTTATTCTATACTTGCTTGCTATATTGCCCATTTTAAAACTCCACCTTGTGGGCAACTCTACCTCCTGCAGGGTAAAGTGAGGACGAGAGGCAAATCAGGTGCCTGCTCTTCAGCTGGCAGAGAAAATGGGAGTTATCACAGGGTAAGGGTCTTCCTTATGTGACCCTGGGCCCAGAATCATCAAAGCATACAAACAACTCAGATTCTGCTCTAGATTCTTGTATATAAAAGAATAAATAGGGTTTTGTTGTTGTTGTATGCTAGGGTTGCGCCTAGGACCTCAGGTACACTAAGTGAAGCCACTATGCTTTGTGCCCCTTAGCAGGGCTTTCACAGTTTAACCCCAACACAGAGCAAACACAATGGTCTGCACAGCATCTGAGCTGCAACTTTCCCTTCTTAGATCTAAAGCTAGTATCTGCATATTTAACACTCTGTATATCGATCAAGGATTAAGGTCAGCAAGAATTTAGCAAGCATCTTTGGATGATCCACCTTAATCACAGAAACAATGACGAATAATACTGTGATCTCATGACAGCCATACACAACTGTGTGTAACATCATGTTGAAGCCTAGGAAGATACCAGAAACAGACAGAAATAATACAGATGAGAAGTAGCCAGATCACAAATGTCCACAGAGTAGACGGAGTAAAGCATTCGGAAGTCATGGGCCCACAAGTCAAATATAGATTATTCTAGAAGGAGCCTACAGGTAGGCTAAGGGATGCACGTGTTGGCTCTGTGCTGAGTTACACACACCCCAGGCTTAGCAGAACCTGCGAAGCTGGCATTTCACTCTCCAGTCTGCAGGTGTGAAGCATGGGAGCCAAGGCTGCTGGGAACTCCCCTCCCTTCTCCTCCTGGGGAGGGAGGGCAGAAGAGCTGGTTCTGTGTTTCCCAGGGCAGCGCAGCACAGCGCCACCTCACCACGAGGTGCAGCAAACTTCACAGCACACCCGGCTGGGCAGCCTGCGGGCACCATGGCACGCCACACAGTTTCTGCGCCTGCGCCCCCTTCTCTTGGCTACTTCATATCCTGTGCTACTGCCCCGTCTGATGTCTGTTCTGCGTATGCACGAGCCTTGAGTCTACTAAAGGTGCAAGAGAAGTTACTGCTTATCCTTTGTCAGTATGCTGGCAAACTGCCCTTCCTGCTATATGCTGGACATTTTAACCCCGGCCATCTCTGCAGCTCAGGCATCTTAATCCCAGGCATGAAGAACACATTGCTTGACCTTCACTGCACGGTTCCAAGGATCCTTCTGATGAGCCCTGACTTGAGTTCTCAATCAATTCTAGAACATGCTAACAACGGACCCACAGACAATCATGGTAGCACTAGGCATCTTGATCTTTGCAACAGCATCCAGTGAAGGGTCCTTAGGAAGCTACATGGCATGGTCAGCTCTGGACCGTGCTAACAGTGGACCCAGAAGCCATCACGGCAGCTGTGGACTTTCTCATGGGGACGCCGTATTTGGGCACTGCATGAACATGTACTTCAGGTCTAGAGTCAAAGGCTCTTGACTCAGCCAGCCTACTCCACGTGTGACATGGACACTGAGAGACATCACAGGGAACAAATGATAGCACATCCCTCAGCCAAGGGGACAAAGAAAGAGCCAACCAATCTTGGCTACTTGGTACCTACTCTGCTTTGACAGGCTGGCATCCCCTCGGGTGATGCTCAGGATGGTAGACTTTGAAGTCAATGGACCAGCTGAGGATAAGGTGAGGCCGCTATTCTGAGCGCTAGTGATCTGGTAGAAGCTGAGTGGCATTTCGTGGGAAAGTGACTGTGGCAATTGTATTGCAGTGTCCAAATCTATCATCTTTGGGAAAAAATGGACCGAAGACGGCTGTTTTGCTGGAGTCAGATTTCCAAGTTTCTCTTCTCTTCTGTATATAAAACAACAACCAACAAAGTAAGAAAATTAGAATGCTCGAGTACAGGAAGCTCCAGGTATTACTCAGAATTCTGCTTGCTAACTACCACACATCTACCACAAGACGCTGGCATCCCCAAACTCTGGTTCTAACTGTGTAAATGAATGTTATTAGCCTTGTCTCATTGTGTATTTCATTTTAAATTAAAGATCAATAGATTCTCTTGTTGATGGTTTTGAAGATTAAAATTTATAATAAACAGTATAATGCCTGCAGTCAGGAACTTTAGGGTTTCCTTCTTAGCTTTTTAATACATTTCTTTCCAGAGTATTTGTCTTTCTACAAAAGACCTTAATGCTTGTTCACTGATATGGCCACTGCTGTGAATTCCTGCAGCTGCTAAACTAGCTTTCCAATATTGACAAAATTATGTGGACAATGATCCCCCGTCTCTCATGGAAACCCAGAAATGAGGGAAGGATGATGATGTTCAAGTTCCACTGTGATAAGTGACATCTAGGAACACGCATCTCCTTTTTGTTTTTAATAGAAAAGTACTCATTAACCCTCACACTATCGTTTGAATGAAGTCCCCAATCTACACAGTAATTTCTCTACAAGTTAAGTGGTAGTCATGATTGATCTCAGGACAAGGCTTATAATGAACTCCACATCAACACCCTTCTAGTGGGCTCAGAGAAACTGTGCGTGCATGTGTGTGTGTGCGTGTGCGCGTGTGTGTGCATGCGTTCATGCTTGGGAAGATCAAATGGGAACAAAATCCACGTGTCCTTCCATTGTTTGGCCTGTTCAGTCACCCCACGCCATGGCTGTGTCTACAGTGTTTGCTGTGAATCGGGAATTCACCTCGTTGCTTCCCAGACCACTTCTCCTTCAGTTCGCTTCTCAGAGCACTTATTTCGTGGCTAACACTGAGTGTCATAGGACTGGCATCAGAGAGGCCTTGGAGGTCAGTGGGACTCACACCTCCGCATGTGTCTATGAGTTTCAAGACAGGGCGGAGTAAGATGGCTCTGTCCCAAGGAATGGGGTCATCCACGGATGGATTAACGAGGCGGGGGAACTCGGGGAGACGGGCCATGCCCCGCCCTCTTCCTGCGGCTGCCCCCTTCTGCCCCCCTCGGCCACGCCCTTCCTCCATGCTGTCTCAGGCTGCCCAGGCCCTGAGTAGCTGTCACAGTGGCACAGCTTATAAGGTTCTTAAAGACAGCATCTAGTTGGTTCTCCTCACTGGGTTTCCTTCTTTTTTAAGATTTATTTGCTTACTACGTATACAGCGTTTGACAAGCATGTATGCCTGCATGCTAGAGAAAGGCACCAGACCTCACTACAGATGGCTGTGAGCCACCATGTGGGTGCTGGGAATTGAACTCCAGACCTCTGGAAGAACATCCAGTGCTCTTAACCTCTGAGCCATCTCTCCAGCCCCTCATCTTGGTTTCTATGGGAACCAGGGCCTGAGGCTTCCTCTCCTACCATCTTCACAATGTCCTCAGTCTAGTCCCTGACTCTTCACTCTGCAGATTTCTTCCCTGAGAATCTTCAACTCTGTCATTAACACCAGATGTCACTAAATGTGCCTCTCAGAAAGTACAAGGACGTTTTAAAATGTGGAGAGATGGTGTTGGCCCAGGGCTCAGTAAGCTTTGACCAGCTGGGAGTCCAAGATGCACCAAGTACTGACACACTGAGAACTCTCTGGAATATGACCATGATGGCAGTGGGCAGGAGGCTTCAGGGGCAGACTGTACATGTGTCATCTCAGTTCAGCCAGAGACAGGATCATGAGACGGCCCTCCCCCCCGCCCCCGCTGTGTAGAATAAGCCTGGGAAGTATTTCCATGTTCTTCACATCTGGATTTCATTGCACATTGGCTCTGCCTTCTCAGCAGGCTCATTTCATAAGCTCCCCAAACCTTTTCCTTCAGCAAAACAATATCCCTTTTAACACATTTAATTCCAGTGTAAGGGTTCTCAATGAGCCCCTGCGTAGCTGGAACAGAGAAACTTGGCTCAGGGACACAGGAAGTGTTTAGGTGCCTGATGGCTGCACACCCTGGGAGTGACCCCAGCCTCCAGGGCAACTCTGGTGGGTAGCTGGCCGAGCGTGCCCTACACTCGCCATCCATGGACTACTTCAGAAGATGGGAGCCTTTGTCCTGCCCAGCCTCTTCTTCATTTCTCTCTCTCTTTACTAACAGACACTAAAGCACCCGATGCCAGGAGCTTGGCTCAGCACTTGGAGTGACAGGAAAGAGACAGCTTTGGAGATGCTGCTGTATCAATCACTTTTCACCGCTAAACCACCATTAAGCAACAGACTGGAGCCCAACAGTAGCAAACAGCGTCCAGTCACGCACCCTGGACAGCAGAAAGGGAACCAATGCCTGCGCTTAGGTTGAGGAAATGCTTGACAGCTGTGGCTGAGCCGTGAAAATTTTATATGTTGCCCCCACAAACATTTCGGAGACTGACTTTTAGTAGTGTTTTAACGTTCATCACATACGTCGTGGTGCTGCTGGTGACTGTGGTACAGTTTTTGTGCTTTGAGACTCGCACAGCACAGTGGAGGCTCGCACAGCACAGTGGAGGCTCGCACAGCACAGTGGAGGCTCGCACAGCACAGTGGAGGCTCGCACAGCACAGTGGAGGCTCGCACAGCACAGTGGAGACTCGCACAGCACAGTGGAGACTCGCACAGCACAGTGGAGGCTCGCACAGCACAGTGGAGGCTCGCTTCCTCTGTACGCTGGGAAGGCGCCACACCTCCACACCTGCTCTGCTCAAGCTTTCAAGCTCAGGGCCTTGGCCCATTCGACCGGAGCTGAAATCCCACCCAGGGTTTTATGGTAGAGTTCTGTCCTGGAGACTTCACACTGCTCAGGGGCCAGGGCCTTAGAGAAAGGGACTAATGCTGTGGTCGCCCATTGTATTTAGGAGACTCAGGCAATTTCTACTCCTAATGACTTCCTAAGTTGTTTTTATTTTACTTATTGGAGGGAGGGGAGGGGAGGGGGAGGAAGAAGGAGAGGAAGGGAGGGAGGGATGAAGAGAGGGACAGATGGGGTAGAGAGAGAGAGAGAGAGAGGTGCCTCCTTCGTATCTGGAGGTCAGACAGAACTCGAGTCCTTCCCTCCTCCTACCATGTAGGCTTTGGAGGTCAAACTCAAGTGACCAGGTTTGAAAGGCAAACACTTTCGTCGGCTGAGCCTTCTCACCAGCCCCTGCCTAGATATGTTTTAAACCCTGGAGTCTGTGTTTCTCCGCCCTCTCTAACCCAGCCCCTGCTTGCCCCATCCTTACATCTCTTCCTTCTGCATTTTAGGCTGGAGCTTTACTTTGCTGTCACTGACCAGGGCCTCCAGAGTGTCCTTCATCTCGGCCAGCAGAGACATCTGTTTTCTTTCCTAGGTAACAGATCATGGCATCAGGCAGTGACCACAGCTGACCTTCAAGAAAGACTTGCTTTTTAAAGTGACCTTACCTGCTTATCCAACTATCTTCAGTTTATCAAATTTAATGACTTCCTTGCCACACTGTCATTAAAAAGAAATTTCTTCTGCAAAATGAAAGTGCCAGCATAGCCAATGTTTATATTGGCTAAGAATCTGAGACAAACTACGGAGGGACCCGGAGAGCAGCTCAGGGGGGAGTGGCTGGCTGTGATCCAGGAAAGCAGCCTTTGTGACAACGGCCTCACATCTGCATGTCATCACTGCCTCTTAGAACCATGAGCAAATGTCTCCATGGTGGCTTCCGGCTCTCATCAGTGTGTGGTTGTCACACAGGCCCTGAAGTCTGTGGACCTTAAACAGCGTAACTTTCTTTTAAGAGCCATGTCTTCCCCGACATGGGAATGTTTAATGTCCTGCTGTGGGAGCGAGGTCAGTATACGAATGTCAGAGAGAATCTATTACAACTCTTGTCTCTTCTCTTGCTACCCAATTCTCTTCTTTGTCCCTCCCTCTCACAAAGACTTCGAGTGACAGAAAATATCTGGAAGAGGAATAGAAAACACGTGCATTTTAAGCCACAAAGCAGTCTCAGTGGTGATAGCCACATCCAAGCAACAACCAAAATCCTATTTAGTCACACTAAGATCTCGAGCGAGGAAAATCCCTCCTAATTTCATTTCTTCTAGGTGTAGGGCATCCACACTTCATGCTCCAAGACACCGGAGGCAGGAGAATGCGATGATCAGATATGAAATTATGGGCTTCTGTACATCAGTTTCATGCATAATTAGTGGTGAAGGGATGAGCAAATTCACTCAGAAATAAGGACATTTTCTGTGTGGCTGTTTTGAGAAGCTACAAATTAGCAATAGTTAGCTCCCTGGATGATCAAACATCCTGCAATCTAGACTTGAACATGTGCTCCCCATGCAAGGTGACGTGATATTTACATGCAAAACGTAATGGTAAAATAATTGTAAGTTGAAGAAGAAAGCTGGAGGGCAGTAAACATTTAGTTACATTTTCTCCATCGCAAAGATGAAGCCCACTTTGTTGCACAAAAGAATAAAAGAGCCAGAGACAGATATTAGGGTTCAAGCCTCAAGTTCAAGGTCAGAGAGACAAAGCAGCCGGGCGCTAGCATTCACTCTACCTCAGACTGAAAGGTGGCCCTGGCCCCACCAAACCTCAGACCACTGACTCTCCTCAGCGTGGCTGGAGAATGCTGACCACTGAAGACCCTGCTCCTGTCTTTTATGCACTGTAGTGCTGGGATTAAAGGCGTGTGATCGATCCCAGGTGCTGAGATCATCTTTGCCAGAGCTGTTTCTCTTTAGGACTGAATCAATCTGGTGTAGATCTGGGTGGCCTAGGACTCACGGGGATCTGTCTACCTCTTAATCCCGAGTCCTGGGATTAAAGGTGTGCATCACCACTGCCTGATCTTTATAGCCTGGGGCTGGCTTTGCTTTCTGAATCATATGGCAAGCTTTAGGAAGACACAGCTGTCACATGGTCTCCTGGTGTCACATGACTTCGTTTATCCCATCAGAGGCTCTGTTCATGTTTCCGTACTTCGAGGGAAGTTTTCATCAGCTGAGGCAAACTTCTGAAAGCTTGAAATGCTCCCACGCAGGGGACTTGCCATACTCCCTTGCCTAAGTTACTGCAACAAAACCAACTTTCTCCTTTGCTGCAGTGGGGGAGGGGTAAACCCAGTGGTTCTGACCCAAAGACAAAGTGGGCCTGGACCACAAAGAGCATTTTATATGAGAGAGTGCAGGTACAGGAGCTAAGATTCGTGTGTGTGTGTGTGTGTGTGTGTGTGTGTGTGTAGGGGGTGGCTTTTACTGGAGAGGAGCCAGAAATACTAGACCCACTACAATCTGACACAATCTATCTTGGCAAAGGATTTTCCTGCATATCACCTGTTGTGCCAGATTGTCACACTTGTGAAAAATAAATGACTATTACTTGAGTTTGAACTCCAGCTCCACATTCCATATAAATTCAGCAGTAGTCTTCCATTCCTTTCATGCACACCAAACCCCACGGGAAACAACCCTGGGCTGTGGAGAGGGATGCACGCGCCCTGCTCACATCAGCTGCTCACCGCTTTGCGGCAGGGAGGACTCAGCAGCTGGAGAGACTCCCGAGTCTCTACCTCAGGAAGAACATGGCCCAGCACGAGCTGGGAAGATGATACCCGGCCCTGCATCCAGGTGATGGTCTGAGCCTGGGTCTGTCACCGTAACCCTGAAAGGTGACCCCTTCTCCAAGTGATGACATGGACGGTGACCTAGGTGACCCTGTCCAAAGGCGCCGGCCAGGAGTTGGTCTCCATTTGCCCTCAAGTTCTCATCACTGCTCCTGTTCTCTGTATGACTCTTGTGTGATGCATCCCTGGTCCTCTCGTGGTGATGGGCAAAAGCCTAGCCACTCCGGAACCAGATCTACCCTGCTATTTTCTTCTCTAAAAGTCTTTCCTTCCTCATGGCTTTCAGTTACCTTTGGACTTAGCCCCACGGTGAAAAATTCCAGAACTCGGAATGGGGGGGGGAGGAGGAGGATTGAAGCACTGTAGAGTAGATATGAGATGTAACGGATGAAAACTGAGTTTCACTTGTAATACTAGAATTTGGGATACAGAGGCAGGAGGGTCGCCATGAGTTCAAGGTCAGTTTGGTCTGTATGGAAGAGTACTAGGCAAGGTCTAAATAAAGAGACCTTGAGTGAAAACCAAAAGAATGCTTCATGTCTCATGCTTTCAATCCCGATGAAGCAAAAATTAAATGTGGAAAAATGACATTTCTATTTAAAACATCAAGCAAATCTTTACACACGCACGATTTTGAAAGCACCGACAGGACAAAGATCTGGTTTCATACACTAAAGTCCTCAGCGGCCACAGTTTGCACAGTGGGGGTGGGGTGGGCTTATTACACGGGTGATATGCATGTCTTGTGTGGAGGATGGCTAAGTACAGATTTTTCCTTCCCTTCCTTCATGTGGGCGACATGAAATTGAGGATTGTGACATAAGGTGTGGTGACACGTGCCATTCCCTCAGACTCGGAGTTTGACGTGTAGCTTCCTGTCTGCACATGCACAGTATGGACTCTACAGTACAGTATGTTACAGTTAGTATGTACAGTTAGTAAGGGATCCTGTATTCCTTCACTCTCTGCATGGAACCCAACCTCAAGTGCAGATGCTATTTTACCACAGCCAGCATCAAATGCGCTGTCTGAGGTTGTTAAGGGAGGCCGTGGAGTCACCTGTTGGGAGATTATAGTTTCAGGTGGTTTGCTCAAACCTTGTTCATAGACCCCAGACTGAAGGAGTAAGGAAGTTACCAAACACCTATATTCATGGCTTCAGGTGTAAATTTAGCAGTGGATGGACCCCTCCAGAGTCTGCCAGGGTCCTGCTCATTGCCTCCTGAGGACTGGGGACTGTGTACAAGGTAACCCGTCCCAGCAGCCCATCCCATCCAGAGTCTGCCTGAACCCTAGTTCCGCCACCACCCACTGGAAGAGGAAAGCCATCAAAATATTGGACACGATTGCACCCACCAGACGAGAACCTTGATCCTGTACCCACCAGGAGAGGGAGAGACCCCACCAGTATGCACTGGAAGTAGACATGGGTAGAGGACAGTATAAGAACACAGTCAACAACAGAAATATCAATATGACATTCCCAGAGTCTAGGGACTCCATACCACAGAGACCTGAACTTGACAACTCAAATGAAGCAGAAGAGAACAACCCTAAAAACAACTTCATGGTGGTAATGAGAAAATCACTTAAGGAAAAATAAACAAAACAAATTCAAGAAATGGAGGAAAAGACAAGCCAAAAATTACAAGAAACCATTCAAACAGTGCAAGGCTTGAAAGCTGAAATATACACAATTAAAAACAACAACAACAACAAAAACCAAAACACAGTCTGAGGGAATGCTGGAAATACAAAAACTGGGTAAATGATCAGGAACTATAGATGCAAGCATAACCAACAGAATACAAGAAATGGAGCAAGAGAATCTCAGGTTGAAGATGTACTAGGAGAAATAGATTCATCAACCAAAGAAAATCTTAAGTCCAGCAAATACCTAACATAATATATCCGGTGAAAAGGCCAAACCTAATCATAATAATAGGTATAGAAAGAGGTGAAGAAACCCAACTCAAAGGTGCAGAAAATATATTCAACAAAATCATAGAAGAAAACTTTCCGAACCTAAAGAAAGACATGTCAATGAAAGTACAAGAAGCTTACAGAGCACTAAATAGAGTGAACCACAAAAGTGTCCCCTTGCCACATAATAATCAAAACACCAAACATACAGAACTAAAAATGAATAGTAAGAGCAACAAAGGAAAAAGGCCAAGTAACATATAAAGGCAATTCTATCAGAATTACACTGTCTTCTCCATGGAAACTCTGAAGGCCAGAAGGTCCTGGATAGATGTTCTACCAACACTAAGAGACCATGGATGCCAGCACAGACTACTATACCCAGCAAAGCTTTCAATCACCATAGATGGAGAAAACAAGATATTCCATGATAAAACCCACATTTAAACAATACTTGTCAACTAACCCATCCCTGCAGAAAGTTCTAGAAGGAAAACTCCAACCCAAGGAAGTTAACTACACCCACAAAACATAGGCAATAGATAATCCCGCTTTACCAGCAGGCAAAAGAAAAATGGGGTAAATTCACACACAATACCACTGCCACCAAATCAAAAACAAACAAGAATGAACAATCAATGGTCATTAATATCCCTCAATATTAATGGTCTTAACTTGCCTATAAAAAAGAGACAGGCTAGAAGAATGGATACAAACATACAAGAAACTTGCTGCATACAAGAAACATAGCTCAACTTCAAAGACAGATGTTACCTCAGAGTTAAGTGTTGGGAAAAGATTTTCCAGTTAAATGACCCAAGAAACAAGCAGATGTAGTAATCCTAATATTTAACAAATTAGACTTTAAACTAAAATCAATCAAAAGAGATAAAGGTCATTTTTCATTCATCACAGGACTAATCCATCAAGATAAAGTCTCAATTTTGAACATCTATGCCCCAAATACAAAGGCACCCACATTCATAAAAGAAACATTACTAAAATTCAAATCATACATAAAACCTCACGCACTTATAGTGAGAGATTTCAACACACCACTCTCAACATTAAAATGGTCCACCAGACAGAAACTTAACAAAGAATCAAAGGGACTAACTGAAGTCATGATCCAATTGGGGTTAACAGACATCTATAAAACATTCCAACCAAACACAAAAGAATATATCTTCTTCTCTGCACCACATGGAACCTTCTCTAAAATCAACCACATACTTGGCAACATAAAAAACCTCAACAGATACAAAAAAAAAAAAAAATTGGAATAGTCCTTTGTATCTTATCAGACCACCATGCTTTAAAGTTGGAATTCAACAACAACACAAATCACAGAAACCCAAAAACTCATGGAAACTGAATAATGCGCAATTGCACCATACCTGGGTCAAAGAAGAAATAAGAAAGAAATTAAGGACTTCCTAGAATTCAACGAGAATGAGGACGCAACATACCCAAACTTATGGGACACCTTGAAAGCAGTGCTACGAGGGAAGTTCATTGCACTAAGTGCCCATATGAAGAAAACGGAGGATAGCCACACTAGAGAGTTAGCAGCACAATTGAAAGCTCTGGAACAAAAAGAAGCAAACTCATCTCAGAGAAGGAGTAGAACCCAGGAAATAATCAATATGTGGGCTGAAATCAATAAGGTGGAAATCAGGAAAACAACACAAAGAATCAATGTAACAAAGAGTTGGTTCTTCAAGAATATCAACTATATACATAAGCCTTTATTCAAACTAACCAAAAAGCAGAGAGAGAACATGCAAATCAACAACATCAGAAATGAAAAGGGGGACATAACAACATACACGGAGGAAATCCAGAGATCTTCAGGTCATACTTTGAAAACCTGTATTCCATAAAATTAGAAAATTTAATGGATATATATCACTTACCAAAATTAAATCAAGAACAGATAAGCAACTTAAGTAGACCTATAACCCCTAATGAAATAGAAGCAGTAATTAAAGTCTCCCAACCAAAAAAAGCCCAGGGCCAGATGGTTTCAGTGTAGAATTCTACCAGAAATTCAAAGAACAGCTAATACCAATATTCCTCAAATTGTTCCACACAATAGAAGCAGAAGCTTCATTACCAAACTCTTTTTTACGAGGCAACAATTACCTTAGTATCCAAGCCACACAAAGACACAACTAAGAAAGAGAACTACAGATCAATATCCCTCATGAACATTGATTAAAAAAAATAATAAAATACTGGCAAATAGAATCCAAGAATACATCAGAGAACTCATCCACCATGACCAATTAGGCTTCATCCCCGGGGATGCAGGGATGGTTCAACATACAAAAATCCATCAATGAAATCCACCACCTAAACAAACTGGAAAAGAAAAACTACATGATCATCTCACTAGATGTTGAGAAAGCCTTTGACAAAATCCAACACCCCTTAATAGTAAAGGTCTTGGAGAGATCAGGGATAACAGGAACATACCTAAACATAATAAAAGCAATATACAGCAAACCAACACCCAGCATCAAACGAAATCAAGAGAAACTCAATGCGATTCTTCTAAAATCAGGAACAAGACAAGGCTGCTCATTCTTTCCACATCTCTTCAATATTGTACATGAAGTTCCAGCTAGAGCATTAAGAAAACAAAAGGAGATCAAGGGGATACAAACTGGAAAGGAAGAAGTCAAACTTTTACTATTTGCAGATGATATTATAGTTTACGTAAGTGACCCAGAAAACTCTACCAGGGAAATCCTACAGCTGATAAACACCTTCAGCAAAGTGTCAGGATACAAGATTAACTAAAAATAAATCAGTAGCCCTACTATATACAGACAAAAAATGGGCTGAGAGAGAAATCAGAGAAACATAACCTTTTACAATAGCTAGAAACAACATAAAATATCTTGGGGCTAACACTAACCAAACAAGTGAAGGACCTATGTAATAAGAACTTTGAGTCTTTAAAGGAAGAAATTAAAGAAGATACCAGAAAATGGAAAGATCTCCCATACTCTCGTAAAGGAAGGATCAAGATCAACACAGTAAAAATTGCAATCTTGCCAAAAGCA